AATAAAAAACCGATGAAACTCGAACCGAGACAGAGTTCAGGAGATAAATATGAAATTACAGCTCGTCTTAAAGTCGTAATTATTTGTATATTCAATACTAGCGACCTGCCCCGGTCGCAATGGTGATACAAATTTTTTCCACTATTTAATGCATTTATTTATTACACACACAAACCTTCCTCTTCTTCAATCACTCTATAAGAAATACCGCATCAAAATCCGTGGCGTAGTTTTAAAGATTTAAGCATACCTACATAGGGATATACGGATAGAGAAAGCGACTTTGTTTTATACTTAGTATTGATGGCTAAGCTAATATACTAGAAACTATAATATACTTTCGTTAAAAATTGGCTAAAATTGACAATCAATTACTGAATGAATTGAAAAAAAGAAACATTTTGTAAACTAGTTTCAATACAGCAACGGGACGAATGTAAATATGCCTTTTACTTTAACATAATTTCATCTTTCATAAAACTGCTTTAGCTTGTATCAATCCAAAGCAAAGAAAACGCTAGTACAGGCGCATGAATACATTACCATAATCCGATGTAGATCAGCGTTTCAAAGGAAATTGATCCTTGTGGACGGTAAACAGTTGTTATTTGGCACCAAAGTGCCTTAAAATCTTGTAAACTAGTCAATACTTGATAGATACGATATGGAAGTTAGGTCCTCAACTGTACTAAGAGCTAAAACGATGCAAGCTGTTCTAAACTTTATGATGTTGGATGAGAGTTGAGAATGTAGTGGTTTTAAGGCTAAAGATGCCATCTGAACCTAGACGAAGTTTATCTTAGGTGCAAGTTCAGGACTCTATCGAGCTTTGAAGTACTTGTACGCTTATATGAAACCTTATGTAGGAACTGACGTTGTAGAGAGAGGAAGTATTAACGTGTAACTTACATATAATCATTATTTTTATTTCCCACTATCTTTTTTGTGTGTAACAAAAACATGTGTGTGGGATGAGCTGAACATCGAGCACAGTGGCGCAGTTCCCAATAGCAGGAAGGCCTATATGGGCGAAATCAGGGTAATGATGACGATAAATCGGGTAAAGAAAACGTTAATTTATGTGTAGTACTATCGAGTTAGATGATCGACAAAAAGAGAGCCTGACCCATATAAGTGGCCGATGACTTCGTGTGTAGCGGACCTTAGACATGAAGACATCTGACTATGAACAGTCCATTATCATAATCCAACCGATCTTAGCTTCAAACATGAGTTAATTCATATTACACATCAATTACGTAGTTAACCAGCTATGAAAGAGCTCACGACCGCATCACGTCAATGAAGCTTGAACCTTAACATGCATATAATTAAACTTCATTTTAGATTTCCATCAAAAAGCTGTATTGTATATACGTTTATGTAAATAACGTCATACCTCTCTTTTGTGAATAGGGTGGGTGAGATAAAAAAGGTAATGTCTTGGAATACTTCTTTCGATTAATGATATTCTACTATTTGTAATAAAAACTCTGACATAATATATCTCTTTGATGTCTAATATATATACAAAATAAAAAAAAAACTAAATCAACATTGGTTTATTTCGTTCTCACTCGATTCGATCGATAAATAGTTCTCATACAGTTCGTGAAATCCCCTTTTAAGCATATGGAGGCCTGTGCCAGGAGGCGCCGCTCTTTTATATTATAATCTTTGGAACCACTGGTCGGATTTACAAAATTCTTTCACCGATAGACAGCTACAATGTTCCTGAGTGCTATAGGCTATAAAACATCACGCTACGATCTGTAGGAGCCGAGCAGCAGGTGAAACCGCGGGAGAGTAGCTAGTTATTAATATTCTGTTACCGTCCGATTCTACAGTTGATAGTTTAAGAGAATAAAATGGTGTAACAATGAAACGTTTGTACGAAAAGATAGGATTATAAGCAGTATAGACAACGATAGGTATCTATCCAAGGTACTATCCTTGTCTATACCGCTTTATCTATAAATGTCCTTCAGGCTTCAACCAACTTTTGGGCACGTGATAAAAAGTTGTGCGTCCCTCCTAACGAGTAGATTTCACTATCACACACAACGACATACAATTACAACATGAACTTTCAATTTAACGACTTAGGAGAGAATCCAAACATTTCGGAATCAATTCACATAATATTTGTAAATGAAAACAAAACACGTTTCGGTCACATAACTATAGGAACAGTGCAGTATGTGTAATAAACGTTGTTTTTTTTAAGGAAATTCGGCAGCTGAGGTCATGGATCGACTGATGAAAAGAAAACCGTTAGCATCTACGATCTCTAATCCGTCAATCTTAGAGGTTATCATAAACCCTTCTAAGAGACCCATAGTCTAAGACCATACACACAAAAAGAATAATTAAGTAAGTATATCAATTGAGCTTAAAATTTCATAATACATTTTCATCGTAAGTTTAAATAAAATGTATCGCTAAATGCGATTATAATTGACAATTCACGCATTAGAAAAAAAAACTGAGGATTATATACTTATTTTCCTATTTTTTTATCATTGCTTAATTTTTTAAATTAATAATATCATGCAATAATTTAATAACCGTAACTGACAAGGCGGCCATTTTTTATATTGTCCCTACTTACTTATACCATTTTTACATAATCACATGGCTGGTTAGACGTGGATAATTTATATAAGACTCTTGATTACTAATAAATAAATGATTATGATTATACTTGAGCCAAGGACTTCAACTTCGACAGTGGAGCTTTTAACCACTAGACCACAAGACAATCGTGAATTAAAATTCCGATTGAAGGTTTGTCAGATGAAAGTTGTCTGTCACGACCCCGTTGTCGCGAACTGTACCTATCTACACGCATGCCAATAGATTAACGACTCTATTACAAACGTATTAGGTAGAAATACTATTGAAGGATATTGACAGTTAAAGGTTAGCTTGATCTGCTGCTGTCAGCATCTGTCGATCGATAGTCTATGGAGAGTTGGAGAGCAGTCTTTAAATGAGGTCGTACGCCTACTAGTGCATTATTCTCGAATATGATTTTGATGACTAATATTTTATGTTCAATTGTATTTAAAGCTAGGTAATTGTTTTCTAATTCATGTTTTTTTTTTATTTTCTCTCTGCTGAAAGGTTTTATATTATCATACTGCCATTCATCGACATTATTAGCCTAAAAGTGCCTACTACTGAGCAAAGGCCTCTTTTTACACGGAGAAGGTTTGACAATTAATTATGACACTTGCTAAAGGCGGATTGGTGATTTCAAAACGTCCAGATTTCCTCACGATGTTTTCCTTCACCGCATTGTCAGTGGTGTCTAAATAATCATATATGGTACATTCACATTGCTTTTGCCAGGTTCGAACCCTCATGTATGAGAAGCGGGCGCCTTATCCTCCAGGCCACCACGACAACCGACCGACAATATCCTATCATTTCCAGAACGTATGGTAACCAATTCCACACAGCACGAGCTGCAGTATTTAATCGCATCACACCTTGACTTTGTGCCAAAGCCCAAACATCAGGCAGCCCATAACTCATAGATTCGCAAACATTGCAATACTTTTGCCAAAAGATGTACGCAAAATAAATAAACAACTGTCTAAAATAATATTCTGTAGAAGAGGAATTCTTGGAGGAAGCTACGGATTTACTGCACTGGGTGGAGCGAGAGAAAGTGTCAGACTTACTGATTAAAATGTACCTTAGTGCTGCAATGATGATAAAAGTAAATATAACAGCAATTAAGATTAAGCTTATAAAAGCAGCATCGAAATCAACTCACATCTGTACATAGCTGAAAACATAATAACATACAATACACATAATTAACTCAAACCATTTCACCATAACTTTGGAGTATTCCAGTAAACAACACTAATTGGCAGTTATTAAATTTGAAACTCTAATGGCCATCCAGAAAACTTTTCGACGTTTTTCGACGAAGAAAATTGACCCTAATGTGCCAATTACTGACAAAACTATACGGGGTCAGCTACATAGAAGCAGAAGGCACATAATAAAATGAAGCCGGGGTTAGTTACGCCATTTATAATTCAAGAACAGCTGAGCCGATTGCCATGATCTTCGATTTAGTTAGCCTACGCTCCAAATAGCAAAATTAGCAGTAAAGAAAAAAATATGGAAGAAGGGCAACTAAAGGCAATAAGTCGTTTAAAACTTTAAATCAATTGGTTAAAAAATTCTACAGGTAAAAGTCCTAGTGTAGATCAAACATGGTGATCGCCCAGGGACGAGGATATTTTGGCCACGATAGCCCTTAAATAGAGAAATGTTAACATTTATCTATTTAAAGAGTTTAACTCAAACAAATCTAAGAAAATTCTCGAAATTCTAACGAAAAGTGCAGAGATTTTTGGGCATTTTTATAAATAATTAATCTGTTGCCCTATTAGTTACTTTTTTAGAAGTCACCTTTTATCTTCTATCTCAAATTTCCCCCTTTCTTTCTCCACTATCCCCTATAAAACTTCTCCTTCATATCATCTAGAACTGTTGATTAACGAACAGACGAATAATATTATGTCTATAGTCATCACGTACAATGACAGGATATTAGCTCATCGGCTTACGAACATATGGTATACAACGCAACGATGAGGTCGTTTAAACATTTTTCTTGGACCATTAATTTTTCTTTAGTATATACAATAATAGTAACAGTTGAGACAATGTGAAATTTTCTATGATTGATTGTAATGATGTAAGTATGGGAGAAACATGCTTCGGCACGAATAGGGTCGACTGGACCGGAGCTATGCCCACGGTCTCACAAAATTCCTGGCGTCAAGTAACACTTACGTTGTGTTCCGCCGTGTGAGTGAGGTTGACGAGGGCGCAATCCCCTCTCCCCCCCCCCCCCCCCCATCCACAATCCTCAAATCCCTTTTTTTTTTTTTTTGTGAGGGGAAAATCATCAAATGACTTCTCCCGCCCAGGGCCGGGCAGGAGGGAGTGTCAGACTCTTACTGACTAAAAACCCCCCTGTTCCTTCTCCTGCTCTGTGCCGAGGTCGCGGTACCTTATTGCGCTTACCCCGCAACCCCGGCTGAACATCAGCCCTTTAGGGCCCCGTCTGTGGTGGTCTATTGGCTGTTTGAGGCGCGCGCGGAACGCTACGCGCCGTACGCTCGGGCCTGGTTCTGGTCGGGCGGCGAGCTGCCCTTACTCGCCGACCGCAGGCCCGTACTTACGGTGGCCGGAGATCGTCCCTCGATCCCCGACGCCCGTAGTGTCGCCAGTTGCGGCTGCTGGGGCGTGAGGAGGAGGATTGCTCCCTCACGCGGGCCGCCTCTCTCTTTGCGAGCATGACTGCTTCACAAAAGGAGGAGACGGCGTCCCAGTTCCTCTCACTCCGCACCATGGCCTCGACTAAGGCCGGGCGCGAGAGGTCGCCGCCGCCGATCACTTCCCTGAGGATACGGCGGTGCTCAGCCCAGGCAATCCTCAAATCCCTTGTGTTTCAAAAACAAATCACAGTAAAATGTGAAACGTTATCAAACAAGTCCAAATAAGCTTGATTCAATTTTTAATTTGCTAAGATAAAGTAAGGCAAAGCAATTTTTAATTTATTTTCGTCAACAAATAAATACGGGACAAGTTAGGTTACAAACGGTTTGTGAATTTGAAGATGATAAGCACCAGTTAAATGATTTCATGCTATAACAGATAATCCTCCACTGTGACTAGGGTTCCCGCAAATGACTATTTATAGCGATTTTCTTTTAAATTCACGCCAAGATTAACACTTCTACTTCTTTGTATTTTTGATAATTACAGAATGGTACATATATGAGTATGGATGATGAGAAATTTAAACTTCTGGTTCAAGAAAAACAGGAAGAGAAAAAGGAGAACTCCACTTAACCGGGCTCCATAATTTCTTCGAAGTATACTAAGTCAAAGTCAATCAGTCTTCATAAATTCCCCAAAAGCTCCCAATTTTTTCCATATCGACGATCCATCATGGCGGCCCTAACTGACCGTAACCTACATACGAATGGTGTTTGATAAATCATAATCAATCAGGCACAATGCTGCGTGAAGGGCGCTGAACTGCCGACTAACTAAGTCACGGCCAGTAGCGACAAACTTGTCGTCGGCTTAAGAATTTATTAGCTGCCTCTATAGACTTATTTGGCCAGGTTTCTTTGAAGATTTTCCACATTCTTATTGATATAATTACTACTTACTTGTTTTGTCTGTATTAGGTACTATTGTCGTATTTCTAATGTCGTCGTTCGCTTCTTGTGCATGAGGGTGGTTCGAAACCCGGCAAGAACCCATGTGACTTTTTCCGGGTTATATGTACTTTCTGTGATTATTTAGACACCACTGACATACGGTAAAGGAAAACATCGTGAGGAAACCTAGACTTATAATTTCTAGTAATAAGTTTGAAATCGCCTATCTGCCTAGAGTACGCGTTGTAATTAATGCTGAAACCTCCTCGTTTGAAGAGGCTTTTGCTCAGCAGTGGGCACTTGTAAGTTGAAGATGTGATGTGAAAATAGATACTATTTATGACTCTTTGTGTTCGATTATTGTAAAGATTTTTAGAATTACTTCCAATTTCAAAATTGTCTAGAAGTGATTCTGGGTTGAAAGATTAATCATCGCGGGCAATGCTGTTAGCCACACATGTGACTTGATAATACACTTGAACAATAGTCTGCAAGATGTCATTGTTGATTATTTGTTGTATAATGTTAAAATTACCGAGCCAAGAATTCCTCCTGAATTCACAAACGCAATCCGTCAAACTGACAGCATGAAACCAAATTCGCAAACAAATTTATTTATTATGGTCCCAAGGTCATTTGTGTTGTTGTAAATATTATCTTACAATGCACCACAGGCGAGATAAGATGCAGTCGCAATTTCTGATAATTTGTTTAACGATCCACAATACGTATTCCTTAAAAAACAGATACCTTATCTGGTGTTATCGTACGAATTAATTACAGTGGTAGTGATAATGTAATTGTTTTTTTTTTACATCTGATTATCTTGAGGCTTATAGAGATTGTGATTCGGGAAATAGCACACCCACTGCGTGATCTGTTATCAGATTTCATCATAAAGTCAGCGTAACAGATTTTATTGGATGGCGCTATTATTCTATTGGAGCCTTGTTCTTCATATTTTTTTCTGTTCTCACCAAAATTAATGTTTATTTTTTCATCATCTCCTATCAAATAAGAGGAACTTCTTTTATACGTTTCTTGACACACTTCATCTGTATGTGCTTGACCTATTCTTATATATTCATCCCAATCATCACACAGATCATAACAGTTGTATAAGACAACACAGTCTTCATTCACAATTCTCACTTCTTCTGATTTTCCATTACATTTCAGCTTAGTATTATTATTCATCTATACTACACACATGTGCTCTGAGGTAATTGCTAGCTGTACTGTTATTTAAATTGTCAAAGAAACAAGCATCAAAGGCAGTAATTATTTACAATCAGATACACAAAACTATGCCAAAGGTCAAAACCAACATCCTCATATCACTGCTAGTAGAACGGTAACAATCACAATTTACTACGAAAATGAGAAAGATATTCGAGTTTCGTCTGATGGCAGACGTTAATGGACATGTCAATATAGAATATAATTTCGGCAATTTCCTGTTTACCAAATCATATGTGGTTTGTATTTGTTCAGAAATAGTGGCGTGTGCATCGTTTAAAGCAATCTGTGAATAAGCAGAAATTGAAACCACGTGATGATAGATTATGACCATTCGTTTTTATCGTATTATCTGACCAAATGTTAGGTCATGAACATATAATTAGCGTTACTTCGAAGGATTCTCCGCAATTATCAAGAATTTACTATGAAACATTTATTATTGTTCATTAACTTCTGGCTAATTCTTTTTAAGTGACGTCATAGATTGTTGTTTGAAATTGCCTGCATCGTTTGGGCCAGTTCGTAACCTGGTAGTCACAAACCATTCTTAATTCAGTGGCGATTCACTTAAGCTATTTTCGTTTCAACCATTTACAAACATGGCTAGGCTAGCAACCTGTTCATGTAAACGAAGATCGTTACCTATTTTCAAAATGTAAGTCTTAGTTCCTTGGGCGAAGAACAAACAAGTAACAAAATTCATTTCAGAATCCAGGGTCATAAGTTTGAGACCTTTTTTTAAAGGGTTAATGCAAGTACATCACGTTCCTCCAAAGAATCTTTCTTAATTCTCTTTCCAGAAGATATACAGGACTCTTTCAGAAAAACGGGGTGAGGATTACAGACAAATTACTGGTTTGTAGAATTGAAAAATCTTAGCCTGTTAAGTATGTAGTATTGTTAATAAGATTAATGTTTTACACTTTTCATACAGAACTTCGGAAAGATTGTTAAACAGCGTGAGGGTACGATTCACGTTTTTCGGGCGACGAGCTAGGGTCCCTCAAGCAAAACCAGACCCCAAGGTTACGGCGCGCAGTGCTCCGTGAACGTCTTAAACAGCTATCAGACCACTACAGACGGAGTCCAACAGGGCTGATAGCTTCAATAAAAGAATGGATGGTTTTCAGTCAATAAGAGTCTGGCACTCCCTTTCACCTCGCCCACGGCGAGAGAAGTCAGAAGATTTTTCCCCTAACAAAAAAGGTCTCCTATTTTTGCCATTAAAATATGGCACATTGAAATCCAAATATGTCAACAATCACTCAACACAAACACATTTCTATATCAATACGAAAACAAACCTACATACATGCTGGCTACTGATAAATAATTCTATCGATTAAAGTCTTGTTCCTTGTCGATCCATTGTTTCAACGTTATCGAATGCACTCGAACAAACACTGACCGAGTGATTTTATCGATACATCCACTCGATTAGATAAACGTTTTATGACAAAATATTTTATTTTTATGTAGAAGAGATTTATATAATTCGTTATTATTTAGGTATACGGAACTGGTTGTCGTTGCAAAGACACAGAAGTATCCAGATAATTTTATCCGTGAAGGCATAGGCACAGATGCGAAGTAGGATCTTAGTTGAGATCAACTTTTTTATGATGTGGAAAAAAGTGTTGAAACAGAAATACATAGATACATTTTTATGCCGTAAGTGTGGAAGAACTGTCCTTAATACCACGGCCTCACAGAAAACCAGAGTTTTTTAACCGGCGAGGTTACCTGGGGCGTTATCCTGCCTCTCCCATCTCCATTCCCCAAATCCCTAAACTCCGATAATGCAGGTGTCCATGAATGGAGTCGATCGCTAACTATCAGGTGATACGTCGGCGATTTTACCAACATTTCTCATAAAAAACAAAGTTATTTACAATGCACTTTTGAAAGTGGCATTTTTAAAGATAACCATTACTAAAACGAATGGCCCTACATTGATACTTGAAGAAGCCAGTTTGTCCAAACTGTCTCCTCTCTCTTACTCAGCTGTGTAGCAATAATCTCTTTTAGCGCAGTTGGGTAAAAGCAAACAATAAGTTATTGATATACTGCATAGTGAGCTAACCTATAAAATTCACATCTACTATCTAAACCTCTAAGTACATAATCCATTACCTACATAACTTCAAGTAACATGACATCATTTTACGGCACACTTGCGCAAGCGCAGTACAGTCAGCTACAACGTTAAGGGAAGCCGTTACGAAATTATCGATCATTTTTTATGGTATATGTCTGGGAGCAGACGAATTACCTGATGGTAAGCAATCTGCGCCGCCCATGGACACCACCACACCAAAGGAGTAACGAGTACATCGCCGGCGTTTTAAGGATAACGGTTTCGGATAATTAAGGGTTGGGAAGCGATGGGGGGCAGAGGGAGGGATTGGGCTGCCGGTGACCTCACTCACACGGCGAAACACAACGCTGTGGTTATATCACGCCTTTTTTTCTGTGAGGCAGTGGTATCACTACGGTCGAGCCGACCCATTCGTGCCGAAGCTTGGTTCTCCCACAGTTAACATCGTTATGTACATTACTCATAATGTTCATATATTTGTGTTTGCGCGGGAAATAATGAGGTCTGCCGCTGCAATGTACAACGAACGCTGACACGCTGGGCAACACGCCCCACGTGTAAACGAGGCCGAGCGAGTGTAATTTGAATTTATATTCAATATTAAGTAATATAC